TAAGAATACCTTTTCGACTAGGGTCCACCCTCTTTTAGTATGAGCTTCTCTGTTTGCTGTTTAAATTGTTGTTGTTTAAATCTTGGAGACAGGATCTCACTATGATACTCAGGTTGTTCTCGACCTTGTGATCAGCTTGCCTCAGCTTGCCAGGCCCCTTAGATTGTCTCTTCAGCACTCTGGGCAAACCTCTGGCCTCTGCCTCGAATGCCCTCATTTATGACATAACGGCCGCTCCGTTTTTCACGTTTAGTTAATTGACGAATAACTTTTGTGTGCACGTCTTTGTGCGTGTGTAGAGCTCACGCAGCAGCTTACGGGAGTCCGTAGTTCTTTGCTGCTGTGGTGTGGGTCTCAGGAATCGAACTTGGGTTGTCAGGCTTGGCAGCGCATGCCTTTACCCCTGAGTCATCCTGCAGGTCCTAGTCGCTCCATTTTTACAAGTGTGACATTAGGGTCCAAAAGAAGTGACCTTCGTACATTTACCTAGGTGGTCAGTGGCTGCTGAGTTTGGAGGCTGGGCAGTGTCTGCGTGGCTGAGCGGAAGGGAGCAAGCAGGGAAAGAGCGGAAGGGAGCAAGCAGGGAAAGGTGACGACATGCATCATGGGAGCCCACTGAAAGTCCTTCTCTTGGTGTGGCGGTGCATGCCTATAATCTTAGCACTCAGGAGGTAGAGGCAGGAAGATCAGCTGTTCAAGGTTTTCCTTGGCTACATCTCGAGTGGAAGACCAGCCCAGTCTATAAAAGACTCAGTTTCAAATGAAAAGAAAAAGAGAGGATAGGTCCCATTTCATGGATGGACAGGCTCATGAGAGAGAATTCTCTTTTTTTAAAAAAAAAAAACTTGTTTTATTTATGTGCGCGTGTGTGTATGCATATGTGTGCATTCACGTGTGTGAATGTGTGTGTGTGCATATGTGTGTATGTGCATTTATGCATGCATGTGTGTGCATGAGTGTGTGTTTGTGGGTGTGTATGCATGTGTGTGTGTACTCTTGTGCGTGAATGCTCTAAAGCTTTCTTGCCTTGGTGAGTAAGATCAAAGACAACTGGCAGGAATCAATTCCCTCCTGCCCTGTGGGTCCCAAGAATCACACTCACATCGTCAGGCTTGGCAGCACGTGCCTTTACCCGCTGATCCATCTTGCCAGGCCCCTGAGAAGCAAGTCTTAAAGCGAAGGCATCTAGATTCAACACACTGAGGGTTTTGAGAGTTAACGCAAAAAGGAACCAAGCGTAGGCTGCAGATTTTCTAAGGGAATGGCTGAGAAACTGACCATTGCCTGCAGATGCTTAGAGTGAACACGAGGGGGCAGCAGAGTCCAGGCTCTGTCTTAGCTTAAGCTCTAAAGAGGCTTAGAGTGGGAGGCCTTCTAAGGGCAAAATGGACACTCAGTCTGCAGAAAAATAGAAAATGAACGTCCCTTTCTTGCCGGGCCACACCTTTAATTCTAGCACTCAGGAGGCACGTGGATCTTTATAAGTCAGAGGCCAGCCGGATCTACACAGCAAGTTCTTGGCCAGCCAGTGCTACATAGTGAGACACTGTCTTAAAAAGAAATAAATAAGGGGACCGGAGAGATGTCAGCAGTTAAGAGCACTGGCTGTTCTTCCAGAGGACCTGGGTTCAATTCCCAGTATTCATAGGGCAGCTCACAACTGTCTGTAACTCCAGTTCCAGGGGATCTGACTCCCTCACACAGACACACATGCAGGCAAAACACCAATGTATATAAAAAATAAATAAATAAATAAATAAAGAAATAAAGAAAGAAAGAAAGAAAGAAAGAAAGAAAGAAAGAAAGAATACAGAAGCATCCCCAAGGATTGGAGGGAGGGCTCAGTCAATGGGTAAAGGCTTGCCGTGTAAGTGTAAACACCTGAGTTGGGACCCACAGAACCACATAGAGATGGACCAGTAGCACACATCTGAAATTCCAGTGTTCCTATGTTGGGATGAGAGTCAGAGCCTGGAAGGAAGATATCTTGTCTCAACCAAGATGGGAGGGAAGCCGGAGAACACCTGAGGCTGTTCTCACATTCTCTGTGGCACACGTGGGACTGCAATCCCCTACAAACCTGTACACTCACACATTTACAAAGCTAAAAAGAATCAAATTTAAAACTTATGCCTAACAGGCCAGCGAGAATATCTCAGCAGATAAAGGTGCTTGCTGCCAAGCCTGACGACCTGAGTTCAATTCCACACATTATAGAGAACCAACTCCCACAAGTTGTCTTCTGACCACGCTCGTGGTAGCAGGGCACCTGTGTGAGCCCCTCGGAGCTCACACAAATACATATAAGAATAAAATGGCTCCAAAATGTTCAGACTTGTAGCAGTGTAGTGGGCCTGAGGAGTGATCTAGTTCTTGTTAGGCAGACGGCCAGACTGGATCCAAATGGTCACATTATACCCCACAGCACTGAGGAGAGAGCTGGGAATATGGGAGTCCCGTCTCTTAGGAGCTCTGCAAAGAGACATGAGCTTTGTCCCAGGGAAAGTGCAGAATGTGGGTTGGTTTTTGTTTTGCTTTGTTTTTGTGTTTGTTTGTTTGTTTCAAGACAGGGTTTCTCTGTGTAGCCCTGGCTGTCCTGGAACTCACTCTGTAGACCAGCTGGCCTCGAACTCAGAAATCCGCCTGCCTCTGCCTCCCAAGTGCTGGGATTAAAGGCGTGCACCACCACTGCCCAGCTTGGTTTGTTTTTTAAATGTACTATTATTGTGTGTATATAGAGTGTGTATGTGGGGGTGTGTGCTCTTGTGCTTATGCAGAGAGTGTGTGTGCTCATGTGTGCATGTGGAATGTGTGTGCATGTGTGTGTTCTCATGTGTGCATGTGGAGTGTGTGTGTGCTCGTGTGTGTGACGTGTGTATGCATGTGTGTGCATGTGGAGTGTATCTGTGCTCATGTATGTGGAGTGTGTGTGCATGTGTGTGTTCTCATGTGTGTATGTGGAGTGTGTGCACACACACATACATGGAGACCAGAGGAGAAAGTCAGGTGACTTGTTCCATTGCTCTGATTCCTTCAGACGGAGCCCTGGATCTGCAGCTAGCCCGGCAGCTGGGGCTCCAGACACTGTGGGTCACCACGCTCAGCTTTTTTATTTTTTAAAATGTTTATTTTTCTGAGACAGGGTCACATCATATGGCTCTGTACTGGCTAGTTTTCTGTGTCAACCTGACATAAGCTAGACTCATTATAGAAGAAGGAGCCTCAGTTGAGAAAATGCCTTTGTGAGATCCAGCTGCAAGGCATTTTCTCAATTAGTGATCAATGGAGAAGGACCCAGCCCATTGTGGGTGGTGCCATCCCTGGGCTGGTGGTCCTGGGTTCTATAAGAGAGCAGACTGAGCAAGCCATGGGGAGCAAGCCAGTGAGCAGCACCCCTCCATGGCCTCTGCATCAGCTCCTGCTTCCAGGCTCCAGCCCTGCTTGAGTTCCTGTCCTGATTTCCTCCAATGATGGACTATGATCTGGAAGTATAAGCTGAATAAAACCTTTCCTTCCCAACTTGCTTTTTGGTCATAGTGTTTTAGTTGCAGCAATAGAAACCCTAGCTAAGACAGGCTCTGACCGGTTGGAACTCACTCTGTAGAACAGGCTGGACTTGAACTCACAGAGATCTGCCTGCCTCTGTTTCCCAAGTGCTGGGATTAAAGTTTTGAGGCATCATATCTGACAATCACAGCTTTTTAAAAGCATTTAGTACATTTTAGTTATTTATTTTGTGTATGTATATGTGTGTGTGTGTGTGTGCACATGCATGTGTCACAGTGTACATGTGAAGATCAGAAGACAGTGTGGGGTTGATTCTCTCCTACCAGGTCTGCTTTGACAGAAAGTGCCTTTAACCACTGAGCTATCTTGCCAGTTCTCCTCTTTTGCTTAACTTGGCTTCTAGGGGATTTCAACTAAAGTCTTCATGCTTGCACAAAAAGTGTTCTCATCCACTGAGCCACCTCTCCAAACCACAGAGAGCTCAATCCTTTGCCTGCCTCATGTGTGTGAATAGGTGTGGTCCTGCCTCATGCCATTCCTCAGAGATCAACAAGTGATGCTGGAGAAGGTTGGGGGTGGTTCTTTTCTTGGGCGAAGACATTCCCTCTCATAGTATTGAGGGTTGGTTTACATCCTGGAGGGAAGAGGACAGAGAGCCCAGTACATGTGGTCCAGAGACCTGTATAATGTGGCAACTAGAGAAAGTTCTAGAATCTGTAAAACTTGCAGCCAATTTGCTTTGGTTACTTTCAGTTATTATAAGCACACATGGGAGTGGGGGTTGAAGAGACTATTAAGAGCGTGACCGCTCTTACAGAGGAATTTGAGTTCCCTTCCCAGTACTAGGAAAAAAGACTCACAATACTAGCCTGTTACTCCAGTCCGGAGACTCTGATGCCCTCTTCTGGCCACCACGGGCAATTGTACTCATGTGCACATGCACACAGATACGCACACATACACATAATTAAAAACAAACTAAGTCTTAAAAAAATAAACATATAATTGTATTTCCATAAGGAAAACTAGGATGCAACAAAATAAAAGCTTTAATCATAATCTCAAAAAGAAACTTAAAACTGAGCGTGACCTTGTAAAGACAGATGGTCTGTGTTAAAACCAGTGCTTGTCGTGGAGACGGGACGGGATCTTTCTTAGAAGCATGCAATCCAATGTTAAAACAATCGCCAATGGCCGCGGGTGGGGCGCTGCCCTTGGTGCTGAATGTGGGCCCGGGGTAGGAGGCCATCTCTGGGGATGGGGTTCCGGGAGGTATCGCCTGCCATCATAACATGGGCACTGCAGTTTTCATACTTTCTGAGCTTCCCGCATCATCCCTCTGGTATCCATTCTTGCTAACTGCAGGGTCTATTCCCCAGTAAGTCTCCCCGGGCAACTCTCAGTGTAGGGTGTGTTCCACCATGCTTGGCCAAGCATGTTCCTCCTCGGTCCTCAGCTCCACGGATCCATGCAAACCGCTTTTGCGTTAGTATTTACAGTGATGTCATGACGACTTGGGGCCTCTGAATCTGGATCTGAAAAAGAGAAACGGAAATAGATACGGGCTGAACACAGGAGAAATCTAGTTTGGGAAGCGTGTAAGACTTGAGTTTATAGACACTCAGCTGGAACTTTTAAAAAGGTATCCTTCCTTCCTTCCTTCCCTCCTTCCCTCCTTCCTTCCTTCCTTCCTTCCTTCCTTCCTTCCTTCCTTTTTTTCCTTTTGAGACAGAATCTCACTATATATCCCTGGATAGCTTGGATCTTACTCTGTAGACCAGGCTGGCCTTAAACTCACAGAGATCCACCTACCTCTGCCTCCTGAGCGCTGGAATTAAAGATGTGTGTTACCATGTTGGATCTACATTTGATTTCTTGTGAGTGTGTGTGTGTGTGTGTGTGTACGCACATGCGTGTGCATATGGAGGGTTGAGAACAACAAATGGGAACCATTTTCCTCTTTTCTACCGTGAGGGTCCTGGGAATTAACTCAAGTCATCAGGCCTGTTGGCAATCATCTTTACCCACCAAGATGTCTTGCCTGCCCTGGAATCTTTGTTTTTTAGAGTCTAGTACAAACAAGTTGTAGTCTCTCTTCCTGGCTAGGTGTGTTGGTTTCATCTTTATCCCAAGGCTTCTCCAGTCCTCAATTATTCCACATATTTGAAACAAAATGTTTGGAGACAAAGTCTCATGTAGCCCAGGCTAGCCTTAAACTCATGTCATAGTTAAAGAAGACCATGAATTTCTGATCCTCTTGCTTCTAGCTCACCAGTACTGGAGTGACAAGGCTGTACCAGCAGCTTGTGAAAAGGCGGGATGGAGATCGGGGTTTTGTGCATGCTAGGCAGACACTCTACCGACTGAGCCATGGCCAGCAGTAAACTATACCTTAAACGTTATAATGACTTGGTGACATATGCCCATAACCTCAGCACTCAAGAACCTGGGGCAGGAGGAGCACAAATTTGATGCCAGCTTGGGCTACGCAGTAAGACCTTGTTTTAAAATTTTTTTAAATTAAAAAATAAGATTTATTTATTTTATGTGTATGAATGTTTGCCTACATGTATGTAAATGTGTCATGTGCATGCCTGGTGCCTATGGGGTTCATATCCCCTGGTGTCAAGTTCCCTGGAGCTGAAGTTGGATCATTGTGAACCATGATGTGGGTGCTGTCTTGTGGGGACAAACACAGTCCCCATAAGAGCAACAAGTATGCTTCACCACGAGCCGTTTCTCTAGACTCTCCGTGCCCCGCCCCCCACATTAACTTTTAAATCCCTAGGACATCAAGGTCATGCCTAAAGCCCAGAAAGAAACTGAGTCAGAAGCCAGGGGAAGTACTGAGTTCCTCACCCCCAACTCCTGCCCTTCTGAGTAAAACCACTGAAGTATGTTCCAGAGACCAATGCCTGGACCAACAGGCCACAGCTTTGCTTGCCTGAGGATTCTATCAGGTAGAAGGAGCAATGGGGAGCTCAGGATACAGGATGGGGGCTCTTCCGGGTCATTCTTACCTTTCTTTCAGGGTTTATATGGTTTAGGGAAGCCTGGAAGTTGCTGTACACGGAGTCCAAGGGGATGTAGTTTTCTCGTTCTGAGGGAGGAAGGAGCACAAGGAGACAGGTGTTTAGGAAGACAGATTCTCATCACTCCTTTGAGCCCCACTGATGGGAAGGGGGCCTCACCCCACAACCTTGAAACGAAAACCAACGGGAATGTGACAGATGGTGTAAATCAGTTGCGGTCACTGTGAGTTACACAGAGAAGCTAGGTCTCAGAAAGTACAGAGACACACTGGGCTTGCACTTTAGGAGGCCACTTCCTCCACTTCCTCCAGCCTCCAGAGTGCTGGGAGGAAAGGAACCACTGCCAGGCCAGGCCGGTCTTTTTTTTTTTTGCTTTTGGAGACAGGGTCTCTTGCATCCCAGGCTGGCCTCACATTGACTATGTAGCCAAGCATGACTTTGACTGCTGGTGGTCCTGTCTGCTGGGATTATGCAGGAACACCACCACATCTGATTTATGTAGCACTGGAGATGTTCCATGCAGTCCACGCATGCTCAGCCAGCACTCTATCTACTGACGCATACCCTCAGCCCTGTTTTTAGAAATTATAACGCTTGCATTTAACAATACATAACCTGTTTTCTGAGATGTAAGTCACTTTTTGATGAGGAAGCTCACTCCTGGGCCCTCGTCTATGTTGATAGAGGCATAGCTTTATGCACTAGAGAAATCCACACCATTAACCGGCTCTGTGCCTCTCCTACGGTGTTTCTGTACAATCTCCATATTGTATCTGACCCAGATTCCAGATAAGCTTTGAATGTGGCACTAAATGTTCAGAGATGGGAAATGATCCCAGGACCTTTCCCGGGTCTCCTGTCTCCCACCCTTCCTATTATTCTGAGTGTGAGCTCCACAGAGATGGCCAATATACCTTCGTTGTGGTCAAAGCCAACGTTGTGGAAGGTTCCGGGAGATGCTCTGCCTTCCTCTTCACCCCACCTGTACATCTCGGACACTCTGGACCTTTGCCTATGGGGAGGAAGCGCCATGGAACCCAGTTATGATCAGAGACAAGAGACAAGGACCGAAGATGAGCTACACCTCCGCTTCCAGAAGCCCACCATCCACCTCGAGGATGGAGATTGCCAAGGGAGAGAACGTAAAAGAGGAAAGAGTACGCATGCGCCTTACCTTTGTGCCTCTCTTCTGAAGTGGATGGAGAAGACAAGGAGGATCACAAGGATCACCAACAGCACCGCCAGCCCGGCTCCCCCGAGCCCATATACCAGGCTTTTCTGGATGCCCCAGTCACAGTTTTCCCCGCTGTACCAGTGAGTATCCGTGGACAGGCAGCTGAGATAAGAGAAGGGGCGGAGAGGAGAGAGAAGAGTCAGTCATTGCTCCGGCCTCATGGAGACTTAATGAGGTGCAAGTTTGCTTGGAGTTCTGAGGAGATGGATGGGTGACAGGTCCAAGTCCAGTCTCTTTAGGCAGATCCTGTCAGGAGCCCAGTTACAGGCCTTTCTGCCAGCAGTAGTCCGGGACCCAAGGCAGTTGTTCTAACCCCGTTTCCTTCATCTACACCCCAAGCTGGCCCGTCTACCTGCTCACCCAATGTTTTCATTTTCAGTCTGATTTGCGAACACCCTCACCCCCGCCCCCTGTTTCTGATCCAGAGCTTGTCAGCCCCAGCCCCCAAGCTCTTCTTGCCCAAGCTGCTCTCTCTGTGTCCATTTCTTCCCTGATAAACCTTGGATCAACTTGGGAGCCTCTGCTCCAAGAAGGCGTTCCACCCAGGTTACTCTGGGATAGCAATTCAGGCCTGTGAATTGCTCTTTCTGCTATCCTTGATCTGTGTGTGTGTGTGTGTGTGTGTGTGTGTGTGTGTGTAGACAGAGCCCAACCTTAGGTGTTATTCCTCAGGCACTGTCCACCTGGTGTCTTGAGACAAGTCTCTACGCAGTTGTAACGGTTTGAGCGAAAAATGTCCCCCACAGTATTTGAATGTTTGACCCCCCACTTGGTGACGATGTTTAGGGAGGTTATGGGACCTTTAAGGTGTGGAGCCTTTCTAGAAGAGGTGCATCTCAAAGTCAGCGTTCAGAGCTTAGAGCCTGAAAGCCTCTCGCCAATTCTGGTTTGCTTCCTCAGCTTCCAGTGTGATGAAATGTGATTGGCTAGCTCCTGTTCTGGTTCCCTGCTGCCATGCCTTCCTCAGCCCCTATGGAACCATAAAGCTAAATAAATGTTCTTCCATGAACTGCTTTGGTCATGGTGTTTTATCACAGCCGCAGAAGTAACTAGTACACTGGTTTGGAGCTTGAAAAGTAGTCCAGACGGGCTGGCCAGCCCGTCCCAGGGATCCATGTGCCTCCAGTGCTGTGACATGTTTTAAAAATTACTTTTAATTTTTGAAATAAATTTAATTTTTATGTATGTGAAAGTTGTCCGTGTATACACATATGTACCATGGGCATGCAGTACCCGTAGCAACCAGAAGAGGGCATAACAGGAGTTAGGAACTGGAGTTACAGGTAGTTGTCAGCCACCAGGAGGGTCCTCTAACTTCTGACATGTCTCTAGCCCATGCCTGACTTTTTTTTTACGTGGGTGCCAGGGATCTGAACTTGGGCTCTCATGTTTGCGTGGCAAACTTTTTTTTTTTTTTTTAATCAACTGAGCCATCTTCCTGGTCCTCAATGTTTCTGAGGCAGAGCCTCTCTGGGTAGCTCAGACTGATCTTGAACTCATGAACTTTCTGGAGTCTCTACCTACCAAGCGCTGGCACCACAAACAGGCAGCACTAACTCAGCATTCAGTTGGCAATGGCTTTTTTGACTTTCCTGTGTCCCGTGTCTGTGATTAGGCTACACAGCTTCCCTGTCCCCATGGAGACACATAGCTTGCATTACCTATTTCTGTAGCAGGGGCCATTTTAAGAAATTATGAAATTGAGACTGAAGAGATGGTTCATTGGTTAAGAGCACTGACCACTCTTCCAGAGGTCCTGAGTTCAATTCCCAGCAACCACATGGTGGGTCACAACCATCTGTAATGGGATCTGATAATGCTCTCTTCTGGTGTGTCTAAATATAGCTACAGTGTAGTCATATGCATGAAATAAATTTATTTTAAAAATAAAAAAGATTCTCTCTCTGTGTATGTTTGTATGTGTGTATGTTTGTGTGTGCGTGTGTCTCTCTCTGTGTGTGTGTGTGTGTTCTGGAGGTTAGAGAACTTGCAAATGGTGGTTCTCTCCTTCTATTGTGTGGATCAGAGGGATAAACTCGGGCTTGGTGGCAAGCACCTTTCCACCTGTCCTCATCCTCTGGGAAAGAGGCCCTGTGTTCTCGGCTAGCCTGGGAGCCTCCTGAAGCTGGAACATCGCTTACTGTGTCCTGGAGTTTTTTCTACCAGGTTGGACAGTTCCTGATCCACCTCAGTCACTCCGGACTTGGCCACACCCAACCCGATTCTTTCACACTTGTGTACTTTCAGGGGCTATAGGGATAGAATCTCATGACCTTGGCCTCCAAGAGAGGAGCAACCGCGTGGGCAAAGTGGGTACTCACAGGCACCGGGCTCCAGTTCGCTGCAGCTGACATTTGCCGTAGCTGCAGTTCTTGGAGGTACTGTAGCCGGATGAGCAAGGCGTGATACAATACCACTTATTGTCCTTGAGCCCGAGTGTGACCAACTTTGCAAAGTCCTCTCCAGCCTCCTTCTTGCACGTCTCTGAGGGGGACATGGAAGGACAGCTAAGAACTAGGAGGCCAGGTCTGGCTCCTCCCTGCCTTCTGCTCTGCTCTCCCCTGCCTAGGTCCTCCCTGCCTCCTGCCCAGCTCCTCCCTGCCAGGCTCCTCCCTGCCTGCCTCCTCCCTGCCCCACCTCTCTGCCTCTCCAGCCTTTCCCAGAACAAGTCCCAGCAGATCACACATACCCTCAGGATTGACGCTGATTGTGGCACTGCTTTGCACCCGGGTGGCAGTCGAGTTGAAACACAGTAAGGCTGTGAAGGAGACACACAAAGCCCTTTATCACGGAGGCTGCTTTGATACCTCCGATGTGTACGGGAGGGGGGGAGGACTGAGACAGCACAGCGAGGTGTTCTCTGCAAGCTTGTGTGTTCGGACGCTTGATTTCCAGATGCTGCTGCTGTTTGGGAAGGTTGCAGAACCTTTGGGAGGTCGTGGGCCTTCCCTGGGTCAATGTAGGAGACTGGCTGGAAGGTTACAGACCGGTCGCTGTCACCTGAGCCCTCTGTCTTGAGGATTTTGTTTGTTTGTTTGTTTGTTTATCTATCTATTTATTTATTTAAGCCAGAGTTTCACTGTGCATGTAGCTCTGGCTGTCCTGGAACTCAATATGTGACCAGGTTGGTCTCAAATTCACAAAGATCGACCTGCTTCTGCCTCCCCAAGGGCTGAGTTCAAAGACAGCCACCGCATAAGCCAAGATCAGAACTTCCTAAGGAATGGCCGACGGCAGGCTTCGGCTACCACAGGGCTGCCCAGCACCAAGTCTTCCCATCCAGGGGAGACTGTATCCCACAAACCAGGAGCCAATGAAACCCTTCCTCTTTTGAGTTGTTTCCGCCAAGTTTGGCCACGACACTTTTTAACTAGGTGTGGATGTAGAGAACTACTGGAGGGGATGCCCGGCTCCTCCTCCAGACGGTCACACTCAGAGGATCCTGCGGGTCCTCTTCGGCCCTCACCCC